CTGCACAGAATGTTTAGTTATCATACACATTTTCCTTCTTTTTTGTCTTCTTTATTCATCCTTTCAGATGTTCAGAGTGTGTTTTCAGGCTGATTTGCCTATGAGAAATATTGTGATTTGTGAATATGGGCCATACAAATAAAATCTGATTGATTGATGATTAATTTGGACTGAACATGTATTAAGTAACCTGATGTTGCTTTTTACCGTATATTGACATGCAGAAACCTTCAGATCAATGTAGCTTGACTTCTGACTGCAGGGTTAAGATTGATGATTATGACGCAAGTAGCAGGCAGCTAATGTATCCAAAACTATCAGAGCTTTTTTATTTTCACACTTGTAGTCTTCAGCCTAAACCAAGGCTTACTTAAGTGACATATCTTAATGAGGACATTAATCAGATTTTACAAAGGTCCCCTACGCAACACCAGAACAAACACTTTTATACAGAGCAGTTTGATATAACTGTATATCATGTGATGGTAGACAAATGTCAGTTGTCAAATATTGCATATATTTATTTTTACCCCAAAATTCCCTTACTATCATATTTTTCCTCATTTTGATGATGCTTTGTGTTCCTCCACACAACACGGATGCAGGGAATTTGTGTGAAGGCGACACAAACAAACATGGAGGAGAGTGAACATGACACAGAAAGAGAAGGACTAGACCAGCCGAGAGAAAACTAGAGAATCATTCCTAAAAGAGGAGCTACTTCTATCACAAAGCCAGACTATGGATGAGAGACACTAGAGTCCGTGGAGAGCTGAAAAACAAACCCCACACTCAGACACTGCAATAGGCTTTAGCATGAGACACAACACATGACAAAGCTGCCTGCTACAATTTAACATCTGCAAACCTAAGGACACAATTTAGTTGACTGGGAGTTATCTGAATATGAAGTGACCTCTATTGGGATATAAGATTTTGGTCATATCACATGCCCCCTTTAACATGTCAAACAGTGGCAGAGTACTCACATCTAGCTGCTCTGTGGTGGGCTCAGGTGAGCGATCAGGGATGGGCAGGTTAGGAGGATCATCAAATGGGTCTTCCAGTATCACTGTGTGATTTATCCTGAAGAAAAGGATGCATTATTTTCCCATCACTGTAATACTTAAGTTTTTTTCTGAGAAACTACAAATACACATATTTTTGTTGATTTATGTTATTGTTGGAATAAAACCTCTGACCTTGACAACACAAGTGCCATTCACTTAATACACAATAGAGCCACCTCACCTGATATCCTGAAATGGGAAAAAGTCCTTGTCAACAAAGGTCTCATTGATTTTGGTCAAGACATCTAAGCCTTCTGTAACTTCCCCAAACACAGTATGGACTCCATCCAAGTAGTCCAGGTTCTCACCAGTTGTAATAAGAAACTAAGGACAAAGATACCAACAGATTAAGTACACTGTGTGTCATATCTATAAAAACAAATGCAAACACATCGTAGACCACTTATAAAATCACACCAAATCACAACAAGACTTAATATATTACTATCAATTTAAGGTTTTAAAATAATTTGAATGTGACAGTAACACACCATTGATGTGCAAGCATTTTAATCGTGGACATACTCAGGACTTCATATCAGAAGATTCACAATATTCATGATACACAAGTTATTTTTAACTTAGTTTCTAGTTCCCTGTTGTGTCTAATCTGGAATCTTTTGGCAACTGTAGATAAAATAACATGCTTGTCACCTGAGAGCCATGCTGATCGTTTCCATTGTTCACCATGGATACAGTCCCCCTCTTTTTGTGTTTGATGCGTGGTGCTTTCTCCACATCAAAAAAGGAAGCTTGGTCCCCATAGAGTTTGCTAAACACAAACAAAAGAGAAAATCTGTTCAACTGGGGGTGTATAAAAAAAATTAAAGAACAAAAGAATTCAGTAGGTAAGCTGATGACTGACCTGTAGACAGATTCTCCACCACGGCCGGTACCAGTGGGATCACCTGTCTGCACAATGAAGTCTCTCTGTGGAGGAGACAGGCACATTATGACATGAAGCATGTCTACCACACTTTGGATGGAAAAAGCAGGAAACAGTGTATATTTACCACAACTTTTAATTGGACGGTAAAGATTTGTTTGTATATTTAGGAATTTGGTTAAAATGTGACTGTATGGAGAGCTGATGAACAATGCAATACACAATATTGAAATATTCACCAGCGGACTTCAAGGTGAATGTAAAAAGTTAAACTAAGTAAACATATTTGAAGGCCCATCACATCATCACACAGGCCAAGTCTTAGTCAAATCTTCACATTCATAAATAATTATTTCTTTGTTGTATGTAACACTCGACTAATGATTGCTGCGGTACATCCATTTCTCACTAAAAGTAAAATGGGGCATGAAAGCCCCCTTCCATTTTAAATTGGTGGCAGTTGTCTTAGATGATTCATAATTGGAATATGGAACATGAGCACTGTTGCATTAACCTGCAACATAAATCTAAGGCTACAACTTCTACTCTCATCTTGAGTTTTCACAAGCATCTGTGTGTATCCAGTACTCAGCCTGAGGTAAGAAAACTCCTCTACATGTGAGGGTTTGTTTTGGTCCATGTCTAAAACTAATCAAAATCTCCTCTGTGACCACACCGCCATCCTCAGGCCAGTCAACACGAGTCTGTGACAGGTCTGAACAGACAACAGCAAGAAGACTCATTCACAGCTCTGCCAAAAACTCGAGTCTTACCTGAACATTGTGGATGAGGCAGTAGTTGTAGTATTTTATTTTGCATAATTTCAGAAAGTTTAGGGAAGCTGCAAGAAGAAGAGCAGAGGCTAAAGATAAACAGAGTCATCACATCTGACCAAATAATAACAAATGAATATTAAAATCTATTCAGCTTTACGAAAATAAGAATTTCTGTAAGTTCATTCCAGAGTTGTTGCTGTTGGTGAATCAACTGTTAGCTACTGTAACGTACGCCAATGAAAGGAAGCAAACAAGCTAGCAGCCTTGGCTAGCACGTCGTTATTCTGCGATTATCATGAAAATCCATCTTTCTAGTTTACTCCACAAACGACCAGTACACGACGTTAACTCTCATGATGTAGCAGTGGCTTGGTTTTCTTACTTTTAGGCCTTTCGTCTGTAAACAAATCTATTACTATGTCGCCCAGTGTCGTTTCAAGGAGCACCGCCATGCTGACTTCTTCTAGAGGCTGACGCCTGGCAAACAACTTATCGGCGCATTACCGCCACCGTCTGGAAAGGAGTGTGAGTCTGAATTATATTTACCTGAACTATGTAATAGAGTCCAGTGATTTTTAGAAACCTGAATATATCCTGCATCATCTGAGTCCCTCTGTAATATATAAATATTCTGTTATACAACTGTTTCTTTGGAGTGAGTTTTTAAGTGTCTGTCTCTGGTATTATGGACAGATTAAGAATATATGATTCACATGTACTCACATGTCTGTTCATTATCTTAAATGTGCTGTTTAGACCTGTATGACCAAACCTCATTCTTGATACTATAACATCTTCCTTTCTTTCTCTGGGGGTTGTTCTCAATTCACCAATTTCTTTTGATTACGATGAAATATCTGCCCTTATCTCCTCTGTCCCATTCTTCCTGCCATCTTCTTCTGCTTCTTCTTCTTGTTTTACAATGGTTGGCATCCAGCTTTTAGGTGCATTATTGCCGCCTTCTGTGTGGATCAGAAAAAAGACTCACAATCTAAATCCCTTCATAATAATAATTATATATAAATGTAAACAGTAAAACCGCACACACACATGGCCTGCTTTATCCTGAATCCTACCTGACATCTACTCCTACTATAAAATCCTAACATCTATTCCTATAGTTACCATCATACCCTGTGAAAAACGGACCCAGAAAGCCATGGCTTCACTTTAAGGGATTACAGGCCTTGTCTGAGTACATTTTGGCTTGTCAAACAGGGGTAGAGGGGGTCGAGCGGTCGTCCTCTAACCAGAGGGTCAGCACTTCGATCCCAGTCTTCCCTATTCCATATGCTGAAGTGTTTGGGCAAGATACTTAACCCAAAATTGCCATAGAGAAAGTGTTGAACATATATGAACATATGACGTATGAATGTGGAATGACAATAACTGTGCTGTAATTTGCTTTGAGTGGTCATCAGGACTAGAAAAGCTCTATATAAATACAGACCATTATCTCCCTCTGTGTCCCGTATACCTCCTACAACTCATAACCACGTGCTCCACTGATCCCTCTTCCTGACGGCCCTCACACAAGCCTGTCCCATGTTCCCTAACCTAGATAACACCATTTCCTCTCTCCTATTTCCACCCCGGATCCTTTTAACTTTAACACTCTTGTGAACAGAATACAGATGCCTCTCTCTGTCCCACCTGTCTTGCCAACTGTGTCTTTTTGTTTGTTTTTTCTCTGTCACACCTTTAACCTTTAAAAAACAAAAAAATCCCTCACAGACTTTATCCCCACCCACTGTGCAATAACTATTTATTAATCATATACTGTGCAATAACAACGTACTGGGCATTACTGTGCAATAATCATGACTTTGCAATTAATCATGACATGGCAATAATGTGCAATACTCATCCATCCACAGTGCAATATATGTATTAATCATACTGTGCCATAATCACTCTGGCAATACTCATTCATGTGCAATACCCACCCATCCACTGTGCAATACAGCTACTTTAAGATGTATATTTGTAAATGTTGTGAATTTCCACTATTTCAAATAACGTATTTTTTTACTTTTGAGTATTTTTGTACTTATATGTCTGCACTGTGAAGGAGTGGCACTATAACTTCATTGTACACCCTGTTCAAAGACAATAAAGGCATTCTTATTCTTAACCTCTTCCTCCCTGATGGTAATTCCCATTTTTTCCAGCCCTTCCTTTTCCTCTTCACCACCTCGTGCCCCTCCACGCCCCCTCACCCCTCCATGTGCTGCGTCACAGACAGGGTCACCTGACCTCCCGGAATCACCGCTGTTGCGCCTCCATCTCCAACCGCCACGCTGACGGTGTTGATCTCGCGAGAAGATAATTAGGAAGCGTCACTCGCATGCGCATTTCACGAGTGTTGTTGTGTGTTGTTGTTGTAGCGGCTAACCTGCTGCTGCTGCTGCTAAGTTGAGTCAGCTAAGAATGGAAATGTCCGGAGCGGCACTCTGCGCCGTGCTTCAGGTTCTTCTCTCAGTGGTGTCCGCACAGTCGTCGCCTCGGCAGCTGAATACGGTGAGAATCCAGGAGGCCAGCACGAGCTGACATCACACTGAGCTAACACGAAGATGCTTGCTGTTAGCACCTCGCCACAGCTCACTGCTGAGGACTGGCAGACATTGTGGTGTTAACCCTCGCGTCTCTCTCTGTTTTTATGCTGTGGTTGTAATGACTGCTGTCTGTAGGAAACCATCTTGATTAACGTGACAGCAGGGACACTGGCGGACACACAGCTGCAGGACTCCAACAACTTGCAGGTACACAGTTAAAACCAAACTATGACTAAGGAAACGTGAGCCAGTGGGATGAACGCAGTTGTTGTTGTTTGTTCTTCAGATCAATTTCAACATATCGGTGGGTGAAGAGCAGGTGTTGATCAATGACGTCCCGGTGGAGCTGTCAGGGGTCACCAGATTCACCTGTCAGGCTCTTTTCTGTGAGTTTCCTTCATCGTCACATCAACCTTCACTGCTTATGTTTAATCCAAGTATTTACTAGTGTGTAAGATTCAGGTGAAATGGATCTATTGGCAGAAATGTAATGTAGAATAATCCTCATGATGTTTTCACTAGTTCATTTCATCTAAATTGTATGAATTGTAGTTTCCTTTACCCCAGAAAAGGCCCTTTATATTTAAATACTTTATATTTACTTTGAGGGAGTCCTCTCTACAGAGGCCGCCATGTTTTTTACATTAGTCCAGACTGGACTAATATATCTAAACACCTTTAGAGTTTTTATGACAACTGAAGCTACCTCAGGTTCTTTTTCATGTTTGGAAGGAGAGGGTGAGGTGAGGGGTGCTCAGCTGCATCATGCAACTTCAACACTAGATGTCACAAAATTCTACACACTGAACCTTTAACAAACCAAAAACACTAATTCACAGTTCAATAGTTACCTATTACAAATCAAATACTCCTGTTTATACACTTTAAAATTCTGACTGTACATTCCACCACCGCACCATCCATTCCCACCTACATCCTGAACCACACTCTTCCCCTCTACCTCCAAACAAAAAGGTTGCTGAAACCCACCTGAACCCTCTCTTCAATGCACACATGCTCCAGTCACTCTTTTAGTCACTTCATCTGCTGCTATTTTTCTGTAAATGCTGCTATTTTAGCCATCCTGTAGATGAACAGTAGTTGTCACAACTGTACATTATCTGCACAATGGGCGCATTAGCCATAAAGTATTTCCCCTGCCCTATTCTGCACTATTCCAGTTTGCACTACAATAATAATAATGATAATAATTATTATAATAAACTTTATTTGTATAGCACCTTTCATACAATATGGATGTAAAACACATGTTAAAATGTTATTCATATAAGAGAACAGATTTGAAGTAACATGTTAAAGGGACATTTAAAAGAAAAGGAAATAAAAACAGAAAAGAAAGAAAGTGATAACAATTCTAAGAGCACAGGAGTGCAGGCAAGTTCTTTTAGAGATGTTTACTGAACTAGCTTCTCTGATATTTAGCAGCAGTCTGTTCCACAATTTTGAACCATTGTTTACTGACAATAACTCCTCAATTCATTTACTTTCCATTATGTTACAGCCCGTTTCTTCTAATCAGTGTAGTTAATACTCTTATATTGATGATGTTCTCTGTTGCATGTGGCATCTATTGCACCTCTGTCCGTTCTGGGAGAGGGATCCCTCATATGTGGCTCTCTCTGAGGTTTCTATGTTTTTGGTAGTTTTTTCTTACTCTGAGGGTTAAGGGCAGGGGATGTCCCACGTTTTTAAGCACCATGAGACACATTGTGATTTGTGAATATGGGTAATAAAAATATAATTTGATTGATTTGTTTTACAAAAGCTGCATCTTTGATTTTCTTTTGGCTGTTGTTGGGAACCTCTGATAAACTCACTGCACTCATTCATACACTGCTGTTCATATCCTTTTCATATTCCATTTTTGAGTGCACACTTATATGTTGTGTACTTAAGTCTACTTATATGTTTACACCAGGATTAGAGAGAATCTGCAATTCATTACCACCTATGTCCTGTACATATTGTAGTATGAAGTTGACTTTGAGTATTCAAAAATTAAATTAGGCTTACCTCTCTCCATATTATATATATATATATAAAAAATCTAATATAATCACATTGTTGCCAATAACATTTTTCCATTGGTATTTATTTTTTTATGATATCTTTCTGCTGTAATTGATAGATTTATTTACTAATTATAGAAGCCGAAATCGCATCCTCAAAATGTAAAATTGTTTCAGTCGGAACACATCCCAAGCTTCAAAATATACTGGTTTATGTTTTTTTTCCTCCAGTGGACAGCAACAATGGAAGCAGTGAGTTTGAATCTGGGGACACGGTGTCCACTGTCACCCGGGTGATGGTGAGCCAGAACCGGCTGTACAGCAGCTCAGAGGAGGTGGTGGCTCTACAGGTGTTCAGTGAAGTGATAGAGATGGAGGGCAAAGAGGTGGGCACCTTTTTTGCAAATCGAATGGTTCTCCAATGCGTCTCATTGTTAATGAGTGAATAAGTTATCACAATGTGATCCGTATGAAAAACATTTGTGTAATTTTGTCGTCCCTCAACTGTAAGTCAGTTTGGGTGAAAGCTTCTGCCAAATGAGTAAATAAATATAAATGTAAGAAAGTCCCCAATGAGGTCTCTAAAGTTTCAGGTCACATATTACTTTGAATACTGGATGTGTATTAAAATGTTTGGAAGCGTCCATATTGACATTTTATTGATAAGTTAGTTGCATCACTAAAACATTCTCTCATTATATTTGTATAAACAGACAGTAGCCAGCATCATCCTTCATTTGACCTATTTCTACATGAGTGATCCAATCTGATCCTATCGAGTGTGAAACATTGTTTGTAATAGTATAGTATAGTACTTGGATATGAGTTCACACCATTTGTGTTTGAATCATTCAGGTCCAGCAGCCCGAGATGTGTGAGGTGAAGATCCTGATGAGCCCAGATTTCCAGAAGCTGGCTCAGTTTACCAACATTTACCCAATTGGTCACAGCGAGATCTTCAGGGTCCCCAGGGAAAACGATGTGGTCGTCACTGATCCACCAAATCCTCAAAAAAGTATGAACACATGTCGCCTTTTCTGGTCTTAATTATTGCAATGCAGATTAACTGGAGCATTTTATTTTTTAAATCAGATGAAGATCAGCTGATCTCTCAGACCACCAGCCAGTACCCCCTGAAGCACACAGAGACCACCCAGGAAGAGACTGCAGCTCCTGGCAAGCTCCCAGAGACCCCTCTGCGTATGGACCCCGACCTGCTGTATGGTGTCCGATATGACGAATTCGATGACCAAGAATCAAGCCAGCCAGATCGCATTCAGATGGAAACTCCACCCAAAGAGCTGATATCATCTTATTCGGTAAGTACTATTATTATTTATTTATAGATAGATAGTACATATATTATATCCACCCATTCACACACATTCATCCAACGCTCCCCTATCCAACATCATTCACACTCTGGTGGAACTGTGTCCTGACCAAGGATCTCCTCCTATTAGAGCTGAGGGGTGGCACTAAATGCTTGTCCATGTGTCGCCTCTGTCCTCAGGCCATGTGTCAGTGGATGGAGCAAGTGAGGGAGCGTCTGAGGAAGTTTTGCTCCGAGTCCCTGCCTCTCTTCTTCCTAGTGATGTGGGTGGTGGTGATCGGCGTTGTCGGATCAGCTGTCATAGTCAAAATCCTGGACATGTTTTTCCCAACATGTGAACACAAGTGAGTTTGTTTCATTGGGTTTATGTGCAAACAAATACTGGAATCTAAATAGAAGGTTATTTAACCAGGTGACCTCCCTGATTGGCTTCAAAATACCAAACTTTATGTCTCTCTCTTTTTTTAAGGCACATTTTTCACATGAACCCTGTCACTCTAATGCCAGAGGATGAGAAGCACACACTGTTGGAGAGCATAGAAACAGAAGCAGAGGGAGAAGAGAAGAAGCCTTGAATGAGAATTGACTTGGCCATTCCCTTTATTTTCAAGTTGTTCTTGTTTTTTCTTTAACCTTTGCGGCTTGTTTTTCATTTTCAGGATGGTTTTGTCCTTTGCTCATACTCAGATTTGTGAACCACCAGCTTTTCACTTTAGTTACCCTCCAACAACATTAGCCACAGAACAGGGGCTGGTTTAAATCTGTCAAATTGACTATCTCACTCTGCTGGTTTAATGCTGGTCTAGGTGATTCCTTCACATTCAGTCACATGTGGAACAGAAAGTTAGTGGGCCACAGTACTGGATCAAGTTGATACAATGTGTTGCAGTCTGCTGAATCTCACTGTGTTTGTGAGCAACTGTGCATTCGGCCGATTTTTTGCACAGAAAATCACACTCTTTGCTCGTGTGATTGGTCAGACAGAGTTTGTGAAAAGCCACTTATATTAAATCACAATCTTAATCTTTCCATTTAAGTAGCTCAGTCACAAGTTACCTTTTATTTGCATTGACCAAAAGTACTTAGCTTTTCTAACTTCCAAATTATTCCAGAACAAAGTGGCTCATTCTACCAAATTTTTAGTCAATGTTTTAAATGTGAATGTCCATTTACCACCTGTTCTTTATGAAGATCATGTGATGTGATCCACAGCTTTGAGCTCTGAAGCTTTTAAAGGAGTAGTTAGACATTTTGCAAAATATGCAAAATTGCTAAACTCAGCTCGCCTTGTGCATATTATATATTCTGTACGAAGATGAAAGCATTAAAAATGACAACTTTTGTGGGGGGTTATGCACTACATTATAATTTGGCTGGGAAGAGTGACGTCTCACCATGAGTCTGCCAAGTCCGTCACCTTAATAAAAAAAATATTTTACAACAAATTTCATTACAATTAATGTGAACACAATCCACTGGTGGTCAGAGTAGCTTTTACTCAAATTCTCCCACCTGAGAAATTGAAAAATGATTATTTTCTTATTTGCCCTCTGCTAGACCATAAGCCAAACTATTGTTTGTTGACTGAAAATATATCTTTGCTCAAACACATTGCAGATGGAATATTTGATCCAAGCAGTGACCCTAGTCAGCAAAGACTCCAGGAATTCAGCAGTTACTTTGCTAAAATGTAAAACTGAGACAATAGAACATATCCTCAGAGTTTGAATATTAGTTGTTCAATGACAGTTAAGGAATATTGATTCACTGATAAAGTTCAAAAGTCGCATGTCGCCTTCATACTGACACTGTTTGGTCAATGTTTTCTTTACAAGTATTTTCTCTTACTGAACAGCTAAAGAAATGACAACAAATGACCTTAAACAAATTTAGCATTTTAGGGGCTGCACCCAGTGAATTAGAGTTTTTATGTTCACGGAAAAGAGTTTCTATATGCAGCAGTTCTGCACATGTTTATCTCACATTTGTTTTCTCTTAAAAAGTACCCCATTGCTGAGAAAAAAACATCTGGAGGACAGCAAATGCACCACCGGGAGTTTATTTGAAATATATTATATTTTATATCCTGTCGTCCTTTAATTGAAAACAAGATGAATACTTAAAACAATCATGTTTAAGTATGTTGTCTCTGATGAAGTAAGGTAATACCTCATCACACTGTAATTTGTGATCAGTGATTGTGTCCCTCTCACCACTTTAAAAATGGATCTGAATGTCACTTCTGAGAAGAACACATCCCAATCCTGAGGTTCGTATGTGGATTGTCATTCTTCACAGTGCCTTAGTGCCTGTTTGAGGGATTATATATTATTTTACTTTGGTTGATTCATGTTAACACATGGAGAATGTAAGTGGAGTTGTTGATATTGTCTATGCACTCTAAATGTATTATTGACTGATATCAATGTGTTTGCACAAGAAATGAATTCAAAGTGGAAAATATAACAGCGATTGAGCAAAAGCATAAATGAAATTCTGCTCAGGTTTTGAGGTAAATTATTTTGATGTTTGTGGCGCCCCCCCATGAGTTTAGTTTGATTTATGTTTATTGAATGAGTCCTTCAGTAGTTATTAACAATTTGCTGTCAAGCCCCGCCCCTGAGAAACTTTTTTGATGTATAGCAGCCAAATTTTAAGTTGCACAGTGGCGTTGTGTGGGGCGGAGCCTCTCAAAAATGGTGTTTGTGGGGCATCATCTTTCATGTTTGTAGCACCTCCCACCTCATGGCAATTTGAGCTGCAGCATAAAGCAAGAGACAAGAACAAGAATGGCACTGAGTAGAGGGCACACTTCTGCAAAGGATGAACAATCCTACACATGATTGGCCCGTAGCCAAAGAAGAATGAAGTGTTCTCATAACCGTAACAATTTATTTGTGAGAGAATAGTTAAAGTGAAAAACAGATCCTGGATCTGGCCCTTACTCTGCATGTGCACCAAAATGTAATGGTCCTCCCAGGCCCAGCCACCATCACTCCGACCTTCTCGGTGGTAATTGATTTAGATTTTTTGGGGTAAATAAAACTAGCATCTGATGCAAGGGGAAACATAACCCCCTTCATAATAGCAACAAACTGACACAAAGTAAATTGAGGTTCTACACATTTGGAGTTAGAATCCTGATTATTACAAAGAGGGAATCTGCACTTAGGGAATGAAAACCTGAGAACAACCTGCATGAATATTTGTCTTTACTCTGTTTAGTGGTAAAACTCATCAATAAGTCAGAATGACTGAGATGATAAATCTCCTGTTAGAGACTAGGCTGGGCTCAAGGCAGGTGAACGTGGGTTTTATTATTTTGAAACTCACCAAATCACAACTGGGTTTTTGTTTTTCAGAACCTTTGTAACGCTTGAAAAAAACCCAGCACTCATTAAACATCTGCTTGTGTATCAGCCACAGGACACGTCTATCCCCAGGGTTCTGTTCAGCTGCAGGATGCATGATGTGCTGCATTACGGTGCATGTGTAGCTAGTGAATGCAGCTTGCTGTTCTGTCAGTAAACCATACATTAAAACCAGGAAACTGCATGATGACTCAAAACAACCCAACCTGTTTCTTTCAAGTGTATGCCTGAAAATCCAAAGTGACACACTCCAATCAATTAGGTGCTGTAGATGACACTAATTTAGCCTGTAAGGCGACCAATGAGTCAGGCATGGATTCAGATGTGTTGCTGAAGAATAAAACAAATGTGTTTTGATTTGAGACATTCGTGTGTGTAACTTGTGTGAACAACAGCTGGGCTGTGTATTTGAACCTTCAATTCCTGCTGATTCCGTATGAGAATTAACTTTTCTGTATTGTATGATAAATGTGGTTGTGCAGGCTGTGAACACACCTACATTTTTCCAATAAGATGAGTCTCTTCTCTAACTTATAACTTTACAAATGAAAATAACAGCTTACACAGTTTCCCCCCGGACATCGAAAATAAGCAACAGGGGATTTTGCATCTGTATATTCACTATCATAAACCTATTGGACAAACCAATTTTACAGCACCGTCCGTGAAGTCACTCTTTAAAGCTCGTCTGATTACTGCACATATAGTGAAGGACATAAAACAGTTATAAGTCAAGGCAAATATCTGTATTTATGTTGCACACCAGCAACATTTTAAATCCAATGGATGTGTGATTGTACAGTTCTACCCTTCGGCTGACTTGAGCTCGATAGCTAAAGCTGATAAACCAAGCTTCATGTGTTCCCAACTATAACCACAACATGATGTTTGGATCAACTTACAACAAATTTCATTAAAATTAATGTGAACACAATCCACTGGTGGTCAGAGTTCATTATAGCTTTTACTCAAATTCTCCCACCTGAGAAATTGAAAAATGATTATTTTCTTATTTGCCCTCTGCTAGACAATTAGGCCAAACTATTGTTTGTTGACTAAAAATATATCTTTGCTCAAACACATTGCAGATGGAATATTTGATCCAACCAGCCAACAACTATCACACTCTAAATCCAACCACTAAATAAACACACATGTAAGGCAACGTTAATATATCCATAGAAATCGTTAACTTTATTAATTGAAATATCTTGTTAGTGTTGTGCTCATAAAAATCTCCAAAAATATGAGAAGAGAAAAGAAAACAACTAAATAGGGATACCAACTGATTGGCTGTTTGCTCAGTATCTCATTGTCAGATACAACGGTACAAAGCAAACATTAAGACACTTGGAAAGGCAAAGTAACAGTACAACATCTGTGGAAATGAACTCTACCGCAGGAACACACATACATTTGAGTTGTTGAACATGTTTGCTGGTTTTAAGATATTATGAAACATTTTTGCAATTGAGTCCATAACAATTTGGTATACCATGAGAAAAATCAACTACTACTTTCAGCCATTAGTTTTTCAGGTTGACTCTTTAGTCACCTGTTAGACTTGGACATTAACAAAATTTACAATATAAAGAGGTTCTAGTCAAGTGCATTTTTTAACTAACGTAACGGACATTACCCGCTTCCATGCCACTGAGCTGCTTCCGAAAGAAACGCAGCTACAGCCTGAGACACACAGAGCCATGCTAAAACAACCTTTTACATAGATAACACACTGTCCATCCAGTGATGTACGCACGCAGACACACACACACAACTTGGACGTCTGCCTTTTTTTCAGCAGGACCCAAACTCCTCAATCCACTTCTCATACTTCTCCAGGTCGGCTGCAGACACAGATTTGGACACTTTCTTCAGAGCGGACTCAAAGTCCTCCATGGTGGTAGGCATGTGCATCTCGTCCCGGGAAATGTTGCGGATTTCTTCTGGCGTCAGGCCCTCTATTCTTCGTCTCATGGCCATCAGAGACGCATCCCTGCAGCATCAGACAGTGGTTAAACACTTTAGTTTAACAATTTGAGCATAAACTTCATCACATCACATGAATTTCTCACATTCCACCAGTGATCATTTCAGCCATTGCTTTAAAGATGTGTTGTCTAATCATTCTGACTTCAAATTGCTGTATAAAATATAGAAGTTTAGAAACCTTCCTTCCATTTTAAAAAGTCTATCATGGTAGAATTTAAACACAGTACACAAAAAAAGCTACTTCTGTCAGTTTGTTTTGGAGAATGGCTTGACCTGCACACGTTGGTGATGTCGGCTCCTGAGTAACCCTCCATCTGCTCTGCAATCTTGTCTAAGTCCACATTGCTGGCCAGCTCCAGTTCCTTCAGGTTGATCCTGAGCAGTTCCACTCGCCCCGTGGCTGCAAACATAGAGTGTGAAGTGAGTGGAGCAGTTTCACAGCTTGTAGTGGCCTCCACATACACTGTGTTACTCAATAAAAATCAGGTCAGATAAAGCCTGGCCCCCAAATACATGCCAGGGTAAAAACAAAGGTGAATACACTGCCGGTGCATGTCATATAATGTGCACACCACTTTAAAATGAAATGTAATGTAACATAATGCTCATTTATATTGCTTTAATTTCATAAATTCAAAAATATAATCATGATGATTACAACACTGTGTTGCTCTGAATTACTCATTCAAGTAATATCCGAGCATTATTGTCTTATTTCAGTTGCTGTGGGTTTATGTGTGTAACCACTTTGCTTTGACATTCTTTTTGTCATCCTACTGGCTGTTGTTGCCTAGAGATGTTTCACAATAAAAGTACTGTTTAGAAAGAAAGGGTTTTTGTTAATTTAAATGCCAGTAGGCTTCCTACTAAAATATGTCCTACTGTTCTACTTTTCAGAACCAATTAGAAATAGAGCCAGAAGTCAACCTCAAGTAAAGGATTGTTGCCTTCTGCAGATCTCGTCAATATTTGAGAAATACTGTCAAACAACACAATCACAGCTGGATGACTGATTCACTGTTTCTAATAATAACATTATTGCAAAGGAAATGCACCATTAAAGACTGGGAATAATTCTGAAGTAGCTCTGGAGTATTACCACAGGCCAAGATAACTGCCCATTCCAAACAGGCAGGTTTACAACAGGGTCTGCACTAGTAGTAGTAGGAGTAATAATAATATTACTAATAATAATAATAATGCGGGCCAGAACAGAGTCTGCAGTAACTTTTATTTGAGCTCTTCCAACTAATCAAAAGGTATAGTATGTATAAAGACTACACTGCCATAAAGTAAAAGAAATGACTCTACCTATAGGCAGAGGGATGTAGATCCTCTTCTCAAGCCGTCTCCTCAAAGCTTCATCTATGTCCCAAGGGAAGTTGGTGGCAGCCAGGACCATCACCATCTTTGACGGGTCTTCATTTTCTGATGCTCCGCCGACGCCTAAACATCAGCAACAACAGTGTCAAATGCTTCTGAGAACAGATGCTTCCCTCAAGAGAATTCTGAAGTTTCCACATAACAAGAATGGTGAAGAATTAATACATAATTAGACTTGGTGAACAGATTTATGATTTCATTGGTGTTATACCATCCATCTGCACCAGTAGTTCTGCCTTGACCCTACGGCTGGCCTCGTGTTCCTCTGATGTCCCTCTGCGGCTGCACATGGAGTCAATCTCATCAATGAAGATTGTAGTAGGGGCATAGAAACGTGCCTACATGAGAAAAAAGGATCAATATTAAAGTGGGCCAATACAATTGAAGTAGATAGCGACCACTTCTTCAATGGATCACAGTGGACATTTAGGATAAAAACATGGTGTCAATTACCTTGATTTAAGTTGATTTGAATGTTGTGGTGTCCGGACACCACAGGAGCAGTATGGAGGCATTTGAGGTTTGTTTTTTTTACCTTTGAAGAATCGGCCACCAGTTACTCCAATTGTATTGAATTTGTCTGAAAGACTGTTTACACTTAAACACCAAAAGTGTTTTGTGGACTCAATCACTTCACCAACCCCTCCATCGTCATATTGGTGAGTCGATCATGAGTGAATTTTCATTTTTGGGTGAACTATGCCTTTAAGTACTAGAGTATAGTAGAGTAGAGTATAGTATAGTATAGTATAATATAATAACAACACGAAGAGCCTTATCCATAAAAACCCTGACCACATGATGCATGTGATCTTACCATTTCAAAAAGAAGTCGAACTAGCTTCTCAGATTCCCCTCTGTACTTGGAGGTGAGAGTGGATGAAGAAACGTTGAAGAATGTGGTTCTGCATTCAGTAGCAACTGCTTTGGCCAAAAGGGTTTTTCCTGTCCCTGGAGGTCCCACCATGAGCACACCCTGAAGTCAGAAAAGAGTTCCATGTAATACATGTAAGAAAAAAAAACAACAGAAATCCAACTGAAGTTTCCTAAACCAATACCTTCCAAGGTCTTCGTATGCCTTTGAAAAATGCTGGCATCCACATCGGCAACACAACCGCTTCTTTCAGGAGTTTTTTAGCATCTTCCAAGTCTGCGATGTCCTCCCTACAGGTTAGAATGAGATTTAGCAGTTCAAAGTTAGGCCAAGTAGTGCACGTTAAAACACACAACCTACATTTCTTCAAAGCTGCAAGCTGGCATCTTATTATATAATGCCTATATTTATATTCTAATATAATAATAAGTTTTTGACCCCAATCCCAATCTCTTTCACCATTGGATATCTGTCAAACAAGCAGTCCAATCCCAGACATGTCAAATAGTTGAAGAAAAGTCAGTGAGCTTCACTTACTGAATCAAAATTCAGTTTGGACGTGAAGCGAAACGCTTTTTTCTCTGACAAGACATGAGTGTGCAGAGACGACTGTTTGTTGTGATACCATGCTATATAAATACATTTGATTGATTGATTGATTGATCTGTATTTTATGTTGCAGAAAATAAATTCAATAAAAAGAAGGGTAGTTTTTCTGTCTAAAAAACAGAAGGTGTCATATTCAGCACACAACATAAAGCCTTTAAAGAATTTGTGGCTGCGATATGGGGCTAAATAAATGAAATTTGTTAAAAACATGGTTTGACCAATCAACACTTAATATTGCTTCACTTTAATGTTTTCTTTGCTATTTGCTAAAAACTATTGAGCCAATTGTATTGAAACTTAATGGTTCATGGGCCACGGAAGAACCCTTTAAATTTAGGAGTGGATTCGATTAAGGGCCAGGAAATGTTCTGATGCGAGAATAAGATGTGAGCCTTGATGGAGGGATGTGTCCCTCTAGTTGATTTTTTTTTAGCTCAAAGTGTCAATGGGGAAAATACACAAAGACAGAGGAGAACAACCTAAACAACCAAATCAGGGACTTCG